AATGGTCTTGTCTAGGATCTTTGTAGAACGTTCAATAGATAAATAATGGTTTAATAAGTATAATTGAACGTTGATTAGAAATAAACAATATATACAGTCAACCCTTCTTAAATGTATATACGCACACTAAATTTAAATTCTCTAAATACAGCCATGATGCAGTTAAATTTATAAATCATAATCATTTAAATGCAAATCACCAATTTTGCTGTACGGCCCTGGTGAATTGCATAAAGAGAGTTGACTGTAAATGAGATGATGGAAGTGTCATTTATCGCTGATTTTTTGTAAATAGTAAAATCCCCCCTCCCTCAAATGATTACAATTATATATAAACATATATATGTGTGACCTGTTAGCTTGATATTTTGGCACCCACTCCCCTGCTTAAAAAAATCAGATGATAAATGACACTTCCCTAATGTACAGATGAGAATTAAATTAAACCTTTAAAACATGTGAAAGAAAATTATCTTCAGATATAACATCTCGAAAAAAGTCAATCGGACATTCTTCAAGTTGAAAATTTAACACATCTATCAATATATACTGTTATTAATATTTAAACCAACTAAATTAATCAAAAGCAATAAATATAAAAAAAGATACCGATGAATTCCAAGAAAAGCGTCATTGCATAAGAATTAATTGCCTCTTTACACATACAAATCAATTGCACTAAATTCTTCCATTGTGTGAACCCCGCAAAATTTTGACCTATCAGTAGACACACAAAGGACAGTTGCTCTTTGTAATCTAATGTTAAAAATGAAAGATTTCATAATTAGTTATCATTGACAGCAATAATATAAACACAGAAAATTATCACTTATTGATATAGAACTTTCCATTTTTATATACAGAAGAAAGAAGTTCGCACAACAGCCAACTTTTATCTTGACTATATTTCGTTATCTCTTGTCCAACGGCACCAGGTCTCCAACTCTTTTTTAAGTCAAATTTTGTAAAAAGAATAATATCCTCATAAAATTTCGAAGAACCTTTAATGTTTAATAATTCATCTTCATCTACCGTTGATGATGAAACGTTATTCATCCTTCCTTCATTAGGTAACATATGAGAAATCAACGAAGGGGTTACATAA